TAACGAGGATGTCATAGAATCTACCGACTGTTGTCAGGTTCCTATACAATTAACAAATACATTTAGGCCTGGATAGTTCGAATTAACTTCCAAAAATAACTCACTCGTGGAGGGCAAGGTCGGATTTACGGTGTTCACTGTATTTGTCCATGAGCGAAATTTGTTCCGGGGAACGGTCGAAACAGTTTCAAGTATTACTTTCAGCTCAGAGTTCTATTGATAAACTTAAATCACACTATAGACATATCATACGCAATTGTATTGATACTGAATTGTGGAATAAAATTGAAGTGTTTGTTAAAATTTCAAAGTACTCCTTTGTTTGCCAATCAGCACGCGACAATACGCTGTTCAACCTATTGAACGAAATTGTGTGGACTGTCGATAAGGCGGGCATTTTTAATTTTAGATATAAATTATAAGTTAAAAAAGAACATAAAAAGCAGGGAAACGTAAATATAAGTATTGAACTGTTTTTGTATGGTATTTATGATCTATTTGAATGACACAGCTTTGCAAGCAAACAAATCATAATGCCCTAGCGCGCACTGTGTTGTTTGCTTGCAAAGCTGTGTCATTCAAATAGATCATAAATACCATACAAAAACAGTTCAATGCTTAAGTAAACCCTCATTTGTATTTTAGACTATTCCAAAATATTGCTAACCCTTTTCAGTAATAATGGACCCTTCAGAATATTATCAAAGCTTTATATTACTAACCCGAACATAACATTATTGACTTTCTGGTGTAATGTCGCCCTTTCGAAATATTTTATACCCCTAAAGGGATTTGTTCACCCTGCCTAAGAATTTTTGACGCTTTGGAGAATTTTAGACCTTCAATAGTAATAAAGGACTAACCTAATGACGTATATTTATATAGAAGGGTACATAACACATTAAACACTAGCGATCACACAACTCATTACACGGAGACGTAAGTGTTTGTAGAATTTTACATAACATCTAGAACACTATAGGTCAACACGTGTTTAAAACGAGAGGTAAGTGTGTATAGAAGTGCACATAATTACCTTTAGAGCACTAAAATTCTCACATATCTTAACAAGCAAGAGTATGTTTGTATAAAACGTTATATATCACCTAGAACATAGAGCTCAATATAAAATGAAAACCAAACGTATCTACAGTTGTGTGACCGCACAACGCACCAAAAATAGCGTGCTCAGTACACCGTGCATGCATCGTTCACACACCGTCCGCACATCGTCCACACATGGTGCGCACAACTGTGCGATTTAACGATCGTTCGCCCCGTTGTGCGCTTCTCTCCGCACAACTGTGCGATTGGGTACAATTTGTAGATCAATATTACGGAATGAAAAAAATACGTAAAGCTCGTATGCAATAATGAAAACTGTATGTATTATTGTAATTTCTATTCACAGTAATGAAGATTATGTACAGTTTTACAATGCGTGAAACACAGCATCACAGTGACCGTACCGTTAGACTGTCAAGAATGGGTTTCGCGCCAAGGTAACAGAATATGTAAATAACAATTTGATGAGTTACCGGGGTTTGACCTGGCCTGTACCTGACACATAGAGCTGATAAGCGATACCGTATGACCGTAATGAAAACACAGCTGGACGTTTAGTATTTGTTATTTGCATACTCATTTGAATTGAATTGAATTGAATTGAATTGCATTCGGTTTGCCTATAGCTCCGCTTCACCTGTGTTTTCACACCCCTGCCCCTACCCGATGAAATACGTAAGCGCCCCGGCCCGGGCGGGGGAAAACTACCATCCAGGTACATGTAGACGGCTAGTGGCTATCTTTACCTGTATACAGGACTGTGTTGTGATTTCACAGGTGTCGATTAAGGTCGTTTAAAAGGTACCAAAACCACAATTTCTAAATTTAAGAAAGTATAGATATAAAGATAAGTTTATAGGTGTAGGTAGAATATAGAAACATGCGTAAAAAATCGAGGTTTAAATGTTTAAACACGAAACCGTATATATTGTTTAGGCATTCCTCAATTTACACCAACCACGATTGTTATCGCACAACGTTTGTCCATCGTGCACACAAATGTGCGCAAGATATGATCGCCCAAGTTTTTATCGTTCGCACATCGTGCACACATCGTTCACACACCGTGCACACATTGTGCGCACACCGCACATCGTGTAACGTTGTGCGATCCCACAACTGTAATTCTCACTTCAATCACTCCTGAGAATAATCAGATAAAAGATGCTACTTCGTCATATCTCCTTTTAATATCTTACGCCAAATTTTAATTTGTTAAATCGTTTTTCGACACGCTATGATTTGTAAAGATTTCTGATTGGTGTCTTATGTTTTGACATCGTGTATTATAAAGGTTCTATTCATATCCACAAAATACTATTCAGAGTATCCTGCTCACTATATGTTAACCAATACAACAATCGTGCTTTTCGTTAACAAAGAGGAACTTCTACACACCAGTGTACACCGACATACAATACCGACACTAAAAAGATTATACTTTACAAACCTGTTCTGATTTTTTAGTCAGACAACAACAGAAGTAAGGGTATACCGCCGTTATTACTCGACACTAATTACAGAGTATTAATTACCCTTCTTTTAAAACGAAACGTAAGTGTTTATAGAAAGGAACATATCACTGTAAACACCGAAGGTCACACAAGCCTTTACAACGAAACGTAAGTGTTTATAGAAGGGAACATATCCCTAAGAATACCAGAGGTCACACACGCCTTTATAATGAAACGTAAGTAGTGTTTGTAGGAAGGAATATAGCACTTAGAACATCAGCGATCACGCACGCCTTTACAACGAAACGTAAGTGTTTATAGAAGGGAATATGACACTTAGAACTGGATGGTCACACAAGCCTTTACTACGAAACGTTATTGTGTGTAGTAAGATGAAATGCAATGCATACCTATGGTATCGGGTTAAATACGTTGAAAACGCATATCACCGAGTGAGCAAAACACATGGTACAAAGACAGACTTTGTCCAAACACCTCAGTACAAACTTGTTGGTAGAAGCATCAGCTCTATGCTTATGCTTCTTTTTAAACAGCTTATAGCAGGACACGGCCCTGAGGGAAACCATCTTGAATTTGATATAGAAATTGAAGTCGTTACAATATTCATTATCCTATACGAATTCTGACAGCGTATACGTAGGTCCTCAGTTGGAACATCCTTGCCAGGGTGTATGATTTTATATTTACATCCTGGCTACACATCCCAACATAAACACATCAAAAGAAAATTAGATTCAGTGGTCTATAAACGCAAACGAATATGTGTCATTTTAACATCTCGTCTATAGATTAATATGACTTTAGTCTGTTCATGTAATGCCAGTAGGGAATGCGTGTCACCAAAAGTATCAGTTTTATGAAAATTCGGAATAAACGGATTTTTTTTATCGTTCATACAGGGTTTAACGTTTTTGAGTCATCTCATCTGTTGTTTTCTGAACATCCAAAATAGTGCACGATACAGAAAAATAAAACAGACGCGCTACGCATGGCACTGCTTTGTTATTCCTTTTCGGATTTGTTAAAATTATTATTGTATTATTAAACACCAATACTTAAATGATCAAAAACTTGAACTGATCATTAACCAACATTGTACTCTCGAAATACTAGGTTCGCCCCAGGTGTTTCTAGATCTCACTTTTCCCGTGTTTGGAAACGGAGCGGAAATGCATACCTGATACGCTGTTAAGCTTACTCAGAAAGATGGCACAGTTTGGGCCCTTGTCACACACATTTTGTTATTTGATTTGTAAACAATTTTTATATACGATGTCCTTTGTTTTGAAATCCTGTTTTACAAAATTTGTATACGTGTATATGAACTTTTTCATATTGTTCTGTGAAGTTCATATCAGCATCTAACAAAACACTTCAATCGGTCTCCAATATCTAACCGTCCTACGATATTATCGACCTCTCCACAATGTTATTGATCCCTTAAGGATTAGAGTACTATCGACCCCTCCAGAAATCTCATACCCCTCTCCAGAATAATATCGACACCTGACAGTATAATCGCCATCTTCAGAATATCAGCTACCTTTACAGGGGGTTAACAAGTATTATCGACCTCTGTTATTAAATTCCATCCCTCTGGAGTATTATTGACTCCTTCAAGGTTTATTCGAACACGGAAGAGTATTATCTGCTTTCTAAGGTATTATCAACCCCTCCAGAGAAGTATTGGCCCGAAAGTATTATCGACCAATTGAATTTATAATCAATAACTCAATAGTATAAGCAACCCTTTCAATGTATTATCGAGCCCTTCAAACTATAATCAACCCTTATAGACTTGTATTAACTCGTCAGTAATAGTATCAATATTCCAGAGTATCACCGACCTCTTTAGGGTGTAATTGACCTCTTTAGGGTGTAATTGACCTCTTTAAAACATTATCGTCTCTCCAGGAAAGTTATTAACAACGTGCAGATTGTTTGCGACCCCCCGCGGGTGTTGTTAACTTCATCATATTAATAATGACATCAAGATATAACTGTCCCCATTCAGAATATGATCAACACCTACGTAGTACAAGCAACCCCTACAGACAATGGTTTTATCAAACCCCCAAGACGTTACCATCTCCTCCAGGATATCATCAACAAAGCAAGAGTATTATCGATCCTTACATGGTATGACATACTTCGAAAGGATCATATCAATTTCACAACGAAACTACCGCACAATCAAGTACTACAAACCCTTTTAATGTATTATAGACCCTGAAATGGTTATTTCGACTTATCAAAGATATTATCAACCATTCAAAGGTACTATTGAACCCTTAAGAATAGCGTCAACCCCTCCAGTGTATTCCCGACCCTTCTGTTTTACTCAGAAATTGTTACCTACCTGTAAGTATTTACACGTTAGTACCAAGCAGTTTCGGTGTTATCAGTTGTTGATTTACTCATTTTAAGCATTAATGTAAAGAATAATAAACGAATACATACCAGAAGTCTACACGACGACCTCGTACACAGATTCTCTGTTATTGAGCTGTACACTCCTATACGAATTCTGTACAGCCAGAACACCCTAACTTTTTTAAACACAGACGGCCTTTGGTATCTCTAGATCTACCATTATGTCACTATTTGTTAAGGAGTAAACACTGCAGCTATGGCGACATGGGCGATCATCAAACAACCAATGGTGGTTGGTTCCTGCTTTAAATTACACATCTGTAGTCTTTCTTTTAAATCCTAATTTAACATAGGTTCTAGAAATATGTTTTTATATGGCCCCCTGTTTAGATTGTTCTGTAAAACGTATACCAGTACTGCAACTCCGACAATCACATACGACAGACGTGACCTAAAAAAAGATATTCTTCTGCTAACGTGTTCATTTCGTTATTCAATGTTAACATTCAACACAGATTTACTGTTCTCCTATAATGAAGCAATTTAAACAATTTTATGCCACATTAGACTTTGTATGACCGTCAGGCTTCAAGCAAATAGGGCGTTTTAAAAAAACCTACATAATCATTGAACCCTAGAGAGAATTATCGACTACTACCGATGTACTGCCGATCCCTCAATGTAACATGGAATCTTTGGGAGTATTTTATCACTATCTCTTTCCCTCAAGGTATCATCGACCACTCAAATGCATTATTGACCAATACGATAAATTATGAACTTTTACAGAAAGACGTAAGTAGAACTACTCACAACTTCTACAACACTAAAAGTAACACACGAATTAGTAAAACCATACAATTAAGATAATATAACCACTAAAACGTTACAGATCAAACAAGCACGAAACGTGGTGTGGATAAAAACATATTGCTCCATAAGCCCCAGAAGTCAAACAATACTAAAGTATTTATAGAAATGAACATAACTTTCATAGGACCATAGTAGTCACCTCTGCAAGTTTCGGTAAATTTATATAAAAGTGTTAAAAAGCCAAGGAACATTAATAGGCAAACTGTTCCCTGGATTCAAACGTAAGTGTTAGTAGAAGGAAACAAAACCGCTAGAACGGTAAAGATAATGCAAGGCTTCACAACGAGAGTGTAGATACAAAGTAAACCTGGTTTAATGTAATTTATGAATGTTCTAGTAATACTTTGTTTTTTATTATGTTTCAATATCATGCATTTTAAAGTACTGTATAAGTTGTATCTATGGTTGATATGAGCGGACGCTGACCATTAGAAGGAGGTGAGAAGGTAAAAAGTCGTATGCATTTATGGCTATTTTAGCACCCTATATAAGAACGTGCACTAGCTGACCCTAGGTCACAAGCCTGCTGAAGATGATGGAGGAACAAGGTGTGTACCTTCTTTTTTTCATCATGATCTAATTTTGAAAAATATCTAAAAGTGAATTTTATTACGTATTGTTTACGTGTAATATTTTCAAAATTTAATGGCGAACGTGGTGGTTATTGGACATAGTTTTGTCAAACGCCTTGACCGCGCGCTCAAAGGTTCATGGACGAACCTCGGTTTTCATGATGACCCTACAAACATTGCAGTATCGTGTGTAGGTAAAAGCGGGGGTAGATTACCCGATGTTTATGCCCGTGAAGTGACTGATCGTTTACGGGTACAAATTGCGGATTTAGTTTTATTGCAAATTGGTGGCAATGATTTATATTGTGCACGGATCGAGGACGCCAAAGATTCTATCGTGAACAATTTCCTGTCCATTGTCGAGTGGCTCGCCTTGGGACTATCAGTAGTCCGGATCGGAATACTACAGCTGTTTTATCGTCGTAGTACGAGACACGTTTCAGTTCATAAGTATAATGAGACCGTGGACTACGTTAATTCCGCTTTGAAAGCGAAATGTAAAACATTGAACTCTGTTTTTTCTGGCGCCATAAAGGCTTAAAAGATGGCGTCTTTCCTCATCTTTCTAACGACGGGGTTCATTTGATATGATATCTTAAAATCTCTATCATATATTCACATATTTTGCCGGGGGTATGCCCGGGTTTTTTAATACTGTTCAACTATTATGCCGGGGGTATGCCCGGAGTTTTCTGCCATTGCAGGTTATGATGAGGGTATGCTCAGGTAAAATACTATTTCACTATTATCCCGGGAGAATGCCCGGAAGTGTTTTCTAAAGTGAATACAACTTTGTTTGGGGGATGCTCATGAATTGATGTTCATGATAATATATCTGCCTTCACTGGTTTGACCAGGCTTATATACCCAGGATTTAATATATATATCCCGATAATATACCTGTAGATTTATGTGAATTTGTTGACAATTCCTAATCCCCATACCTAGGCACAAATGCAGGCTACTTTTATCTTACTTAAGTATACCTCTTAAAGGGGACATCAGTCACTAACTTGTTCGTTTCTTTTCCAGAGATAAATTAGCAAGGCCCAATTCGGCGAACTCGGCGTAGGGCGGCACAACACCATTCATTGGTGACATCACCCACACATAATGAAGAAATGAGTGTGCCTAGCACAACAACAGCTAGGAGGGGACGCCGACCGGTTGTTCGACAAACACCTCCACCAGTTCCATCAGCACTGGTACCTCCAGCAACTCTGAGTACCACATCTACACTTTCAACAAGTCATAACAACATATCGATACCCGAGTTGGCAGCGGAGCTGTTTCAATATATGCAACAGGCAGGTTTTACCATACAACCCCCTGCCGTACAAACCGTGCCTACAGAGATACCCTCTGCTTCCGGGTCAGCTGACTGCCCTCCAGTGGACAGCACCTTATTTTCAAGACCAGCTACCACCAATGCCGCACCCTCTGTGTCTGGAGGGGGATTGAACCAGAGTCATATGCTGCAACAGCAGCATATGTCATTCAACAAAACAACCCACTACAGTAGGCTACCAATACAAGGACAGGACAATGTTCCGTCATACGTCAACGTGTTGCACTCAGTTTCTGGTGAGACTCCTCAAGTTGACAGCATAAGCCGACCTCTGGATATGTTTGTAGATCTCAAAGAAAAATGTTGCTGATGAGTTCATTGATTTCTGGCTGTTGATTAAGCGTTCCCCTTAGGAAAAAGAACCCCTGAGGGTTGAAATGCAAGGCCAGCAATTGGTGCTGTGCCAAAACAACAAACCAGCCCATATAAAGTCAATTGAACAATGGCTCTCAGCTTTTTATATTTTTGTAGCTATTTACATTCAGGCACATCCTCAGACTACTCCAGGCCTAATGAAATATGCCGACGTGATACAAACGATACACCGGAAGTCGGGTTTTGCTGCAGCTATCCACTATGATAACAACTTTTGTATGTGGCATCAATTAGTGCCCACTGCCCCATGGCACATTACTCCTTCCGAGTTCTACATGGAGGCAACAGCTATTGGGCTAATGCCCACAACAGCTCTTTCAGGGTCAGAAAGCCAACACACGAATTAAGAAAGTGTGTTGGACATATGATAATCACGAAGGTGCCCGATGCAAATTCTTGCATGGCTGCAGCATCTGTGGAGGGAAGCATCAGCAACGCAATTGTTACAATGCAGCCCAGTCTGGGTCACGATCCGAAACCCAGCAAAACTCTGGCTCGGTCAACACCAAACCATCCCAACAACCTAACCAGTCCAATAACAGACAACAACGTAAAGCCCCTCAAAAATGAGCCTTTACCTACCCCTATTGTTATTGACAGGTTCTTAACTTACCTGCGGGGTTATGATAAATCAAAACTAAATTTTCTTCAAGATGGTTTTAAGCAAGGTTTTAGGTTGCAATATGAAGGGCCTCGCATATTTCGTTATTCCAGAAATCTTAAGTCTGCTTTAGATAACATGCAAATTCTAAAAGATAAGATTCAAAAGGAGATTTATCATGGGCGTTGTTTTGGTCCTTACCATACACCACCTTTTACTAATTTGCATATCTCCCCACTTGGTTTAGTTCCCAAAAAGGAACCTAATGAGTTCAGAGTTATACATCACCGTCCTTTCCAGAAGGTTCCTCTATCAATGATGACAACGCCCCGGAAAATTCCACGGTTGTTTATCAAACTATCGATCAGGCAATTCAATTAATTAAACATTATAGTCCAAATTCATATCTGGCAAAGACTGATATTGAATCAGCGTTTCGTTTAATTCCGATTCATCCGAATGACTACGAACTCTTGGGTTTTAAAATTGATGACAGAATTTATTTTGACCGTGTCCGGCCAATGGGTTGTTCTATTTCATGTCGTTTGTTTGAAGCATTCAGCTCAGCCACTCATTGGATTTTGGAACATAAATTTCAAGTTTCTGGAGTTGTGCATGTTTTGGATGATTTTTTATTCGTAGACCCCCCTGACTCTCACAAATGTTTGGATGATTTAAACAATTTCCTGTCATTTTGTTCCGAACTTCTATTCCCATAAAGCAAAGTAAAACTGAACTACCCACAACAGTTCTGACTTTTCTTGGCATAGAGTTAGACAGTAAAGCTATGGTGGCCAGACTTCCATTGGATAAAATTGAAAAATTGCGAGCACTTCTGGATTCATTTTCCAGACCCCAAAAAGTCACCCTGAAAGAACTTCAGTCCCTTATAGGTTTGCTTAATTTTGCTTGTCGTGTTATTTCACCTGGGCGCCCCTTTTTACGTCGTCTGATTTATCTTACCTGTGGTTTAACAAAACCATATCACCATAAACGACTTAATAAGGAGGCTAGATGTGACTTAGCTGCATGGAAAATCTTTTTAGACTCGTTTAATGGGATATTTATGTTTCTGTCTGACCGTTGGGAAGCTTCAGAACAATTACGGTTTTATACTGATGCAAGTAATTTAGGTTATGGCGGTTTCTTTCAAACGTCATGGATGTATGGCGAGTGGCCATCAAACTGGCAATCTGTCCTTATTACATTTAAAGAATTCTTTGCTATAACAGTTGCATTAGAGCTCTGGGGTCCATCACTTACTAACAGATGTATCATCTTTTATTGTGACAACCATGCTGTTGTGGACATAATTAACAAACAAACCAGTACAGATAAAACTCTAATGAAGTTAGTTAGGCGTTTTGTGGTCACAACCTTAAAACTCAATATTTTGTTTACCGCGCGTCACATCCCAGGTG